CAGGGGCATCGATCTCTGACAAAAGGCTTTGATACCTTTCAGGCTCAAGAGGCATCAATAGCTTTCGGTCATGGGCCGATTTTGCTCTCAGCAGGTACCACTGACTGTCAGCATTGACTGATCTGAATATTGAGAGGCTTCGATGACCATCAATTTCCATACGTATCACTACAGAATGATATCTATAGATAACGATCCCTATTGATAGGCTCAATCTCAAGAAGCATCTATAGCTTTCAGTCTCTGCCTGATTTTGCTATTAGTAGGAATCAAGTGATATCAACACTGATGCCTCTCAATATCAACAGGCATCAATGCCAATTGGTTCCTATACCTAGTGATAGGGACTGATATCGATAGTTATCAATCCCTATTGATAGGCATTGATACCTTGTGATCTAGAGAGGCACCTACAGCTTTCAGTCTTGGGCTGATTTTGCCCTTGATAACCACTGAAGACTATCAACATTGACCATTACCGATATTGGGAGGCCTTAAGGAGTATCCATTTCCATACATATCGCTAGCACTTGACATCCATAGATATCAGTCTCTATCAATATGCATCAATACCTCTTGATCTTGACAGGCATCGATGCCTGTCAATTTCCATAGCTATCAATAAAGACTGCTATCAATAGGATTCAATAGTCATCAATAACTATTGATATCCATCCCTGCCAACAATCAGTGATAGCTCTCGACCTTGACTGGCATCTCGAGCTTTCATTCTCGGACTGATTTTGCTCTCAGTAGGCATCAATGACTATCAACATTGACCAGTCGCAATATCGGGAGGCCTTGATGACTATCGATTTCCATATGTATCGGTATGGAACAATATCTATAGATAACAACCCCTATCAATAGGGTTTGATACTTCTTGATCTCAAGAGGCATCAATATCTTTTGGTCTTGTCCGATTTTGCTGTCAGTAGTCATCAACCAATATTGACATCAATATCTCCCAATATTGAGATGCATCAATGCCAGTTGACTTCCATACCTATTGATAGGTATCGATACCTATTGATATTGATCCCTATCAATAGGCATCAATACCGCTTATTTTCGAGTGGCATCTATAGCTTTAAGTCTTGGATCAATTTTGCTCTTGGTAGGCACCGATGACTATCCGCATTGACTGTTATCTATATTGAGGGGCCTTGAGGAGTACTGATTTCATGCCTACAAAATTCAGTGATTTCTGTGAGAAGAGTCTCGGTATGCATCTTTTGGCATCTTCCTCAATAAAGTCTGCATGTCTAAACTCGTCAGAGCACATCTCTCAGTTTAAAGGAATGATACCTAATTCTGCAAGAACTTGCATTTTCTGCATCTCTCCATGCCAGATAATCTAGCAGATTTTGCCCTCAATGTATGATGTCTGATGATGCCTTTCAGAATGTCTTTCTAAAAATTGTACTCCATATAAGATCAAGATACAATAGCAAAGCCTATTATCTCCAGGCTATGACGAAAACAAGTTGTCTCATTTTTAAAGCACTTTTTAGTTAAACATAAATACTACCTCATAAGTCACTCCATAGACTGACTAAGCTAGGACTGTACCAAGGGACATTAAATAAAAGAAGTCCTAATTAAGTTATTTACCCTTTGAAAATAAGCTTTATATCAGTGGTAATTTCTGCATTGTATAAACCCAGGCAGGAAAGAATTCACATAAACCCAGCTAGTAGAACTGGAATGTGATGATTTATCAGTTTTGAAACAAGTACTGCAAAACTAGCAGGCATCAGTAAAGCATCAGGACAGCAAGAGTTAAGAGCATATACTATACTTTACTGGTTGGAAAAGTTTGGAAAGCAAAAATAGTAGGAATAGGATCCTTTACAGTGATTTCAGTTACAGTTTTTATTAATATATTTTTACAGGATATCCCAGTTAAGCCAGACAGCTTGTATATAATAGGGCCTTGTGCAAGGACAGCTTAAAGCTATTATACTGTACATACAGAAGGACAATACAGTCCCAGTACAAGCCACCAGCAGGCAGTAAATCCTGTCAAAACCTCAAGTCACACCTGATTAACTAGCTGGTTCCAATTTGACAACCTATCTCAAGACTGTTTTCTTCAGTGTAGTTAAGAGTTGTCAGAGAATTTACGTCATCTGATGGCAAGTTACATAAAATAGTGCCTCATTGTATCATTTAAGAAGCATTGCTTCGGATGAGCCGTGAGAAATGCCTTTCACACCTGCAGTATTCTCTGATGCTATATACTTCTTAAAAGGGACTCCATTTAGATGTCTCACTAGGAGAAATCACATCATCTCTGTCCCAACAGGATCACTTATGCCTGTATAACAACTATATCTAGGTTATGCTTCAAACACGTTCAAAATTTTATCACTTATGAGTCAGTCCATCCTTAACATGACCAATGCAATTAAGCTCAACTTTCTCCACAATTTCTCTTAATTCTGCAAAATAACTTAAAAATATATACCCTGGTAAAACTGAAGAACTCAGATTTTTTTTTATTAAACATAAGATCCTGCTGGTGGACCAAATAGTGGTATCTTTACACCACCTGAAAACAAAGGAAACCTTGTTTCTGTGGGTTTAAAAATAATATCAAATTCAGGCCCCTAACGGGGCAAATTTCAAAAACACCCTAAGGTCCTACACAGCACATCAAATAGAAGGCAGGCTGTCAAACATGCAAGGTATTATGAAAACCAAGTAATAATCCTTGTAAATTCTGTATTTATCCAATTATCAATCAAAAAGCCTTACAGCCATACTGAGATACAGTGCATCTTGATTAAAAGTTACAGTGCCATAAATTAGCAAAAGTGTTTCTTAATTGTCACTTCCTTTGGCTCTGAATCTATATGTACAGCTTCTTCTAGAGCTGTACAGGAATTTACACAGCAGAAAGCTGGGGGAAGTTTTAGCAGAAACACATACACTACACACATGCTTTCTCACATATGAACAAATTCAACATTTCCATAGGGTTTTTCCCATTTAGGCAGCAGGAGGCTTATTTCTATATTACTTTCTTTTTTAGGATGAACTGACCACAGCTTTTTCTTTTTTTCTGTTTTTTTTTTTTTTAATAGCACAATCTTATCTCTTTCCTTAGAAAAGACAAGTGATACTTAAGCTTTACTCTTCATTTCATGAACTACTGAGCTTATTTGCACTTAAGGCTCTCCACAAGAAACATAACAGTAGTTCAGAATCCAGTAAAGCATATTTTTCTACTCACACTATCACAGAATCACAGAATCGTTTAGGTTGGAAGGGACCTCTGGAGATCATCTAGTCCAACCTCCCTGCTCAAGCAGGGTCACCTAGAGCATATTTCCCAGGAAATATTTCTCACTATACAAGTGCGCAGCGTTCAGGATCTGAACTGGCAGGACATGAGGATCAGTGATGGAGATGGAAGAGCAGGAGCAGGGGGAAGAGGAAAGCCAGGAGAAAAGGGCAGTTACCTTTGAAAATGAGAGGGAGCTTCTCATGGGCAGTGAAAGAACCTCCTATCCCTTGCATTTAGCATATTACAACACACATGGCAGGCTAAGCAGCTGAATTTTCCTTTTGCATACTGAATGAGGCAATTTCTCATCCTCATTTTCACAGTGTTTTATCATAGAATATTATTTTCTTCTAAAATTTATCAAGGAGCTTAATTAAAATAAGAACACATTTTCTAAAAATAACAGCGGAACAACTGCAGCATACATCTGTGGACCACAAACCTACTCATTTACTTTTCTGCTCAATCGTAATAGTGTTTCCACAGCAATAGCTATCATAAGAAGAGTTATTAACACATGGAAAGTCAGATATTCAATCATCTTTTTCTGGTAAAAGACAACAAAATGCATTCTTGTTTTTAATACGGAGTAAGAATCTAAATAAATATTAAGATTATAGCAAAATATATATGCAAAATCTTTTGAAATCCAGACACTGACATGCAGATCATCCGCAAACTGCAGTGATGTTTAACAAAGAGGACAGCACCTGAATGGTACCACTGTGTTGGCCTTTAGTTACAAGCACCTATGGAATTGAGAGGCAGGTAAGAAACCACCTTCTCTGGTCAGGTGTGAAGTAAGATGTGAGTGCTCCATACCAAGGAATAGCAATCTCAAACAGAAACTCATAGAATAGTGTCTGAACGGGTGCTAGCACAAGTAGTAGCTTTCAGATAAGCATTGAATGCCTGGAAAGGTGTTTGGAGCTAGGTGTTAACTGAGGCCAATTTTACAGAAGACTTCTCTCTATGCATCCTAAACTGCAGAGGACTTGTCCTTACAGATAGCTCAGCTTCAAGGGATAGTAAAGCTGGCAGTAGTCTCTAACACTGCCATGTGTATTGATTCAAAGCTTGCAGCTGTTCAGCAAGGGAAGGAAGAAGGATGGGTGAGAGCAGAGAAGATCAGCCACCACTAAGGTTGGTAGCAGTAAGAGTAAGCAAGGCTGAACCCAAGTGTTATCAGGGATTAGCAAACTTGTCTGAGCCATTGGACGAGATGTGACCTAACCTCTGCACTGCCATGATTCAAGCCACTGGGCACAGCGTACCATTTAAGATGCAGTGCACAAGATCTTCTTTGTGACTACATGTCATGCTGCTCAGCTGAAAGACAAGTCACACTGCAGAGAGACAGCTAGGTCTGCAAGGGAGCTCAGTGTCTTGAGCAGCCCTAATCCTTGAAGATTTGAGCTGAACATAAAAATAAAGGTGGTAACTTTTTTTTTTTTTTTTCTTTAAAACTCAGGTCATTAGTCTTCTGCTGTTTTTGTCTGACGGCATAAAAAAAAATCTGAGGTTCAATCTCAACTACGGTTTCAGTAAGTTCAGTTCTTCAGAGTTCCAACTACAACCGAAAATCTCTGATTGAAACTAGCTGTATTCATTGCCTTGCTCAATTATTTGCAAAATACATAAGTGTAAGCAGTGGTACGTGCCTATACAGACACTACCAGGGTTGGTGACTAAGTGCAGATATTACTTACAGGTGATTATTTTTCCTGGTCTTGCAGTCTTTGCCCAGAGCATCAAATACCAAAGCCATGATGTGTTCACACCACCTTTCCTGTCAAGATGTGCTGTATCCATTCCACAGCAGGTTTCCAAGAAGTTCTGTACCTGTGGTAATTCACTCTGCAATAGAAATTCTTAAGATAAAATTAACAGAAACTGCTGTATTCCTTTCAAACCTATCCATGCACTTTTTAAATTGACTTTCAAAAATATCTATAACCAAAATACACTCAAGAGAAATAAACAATGCAGATTGCTGCCTGAAACCATTATACAGATAACACTGCACATTCATTATTTATAAGTTAGCAGGCTTCACAGAAATAATGGGTTTAGCAAGTCCAGCACTTCCCTTTCAACAACAGAAAATTGAACATCATCAAGAAATAGAAATACAGTGCTGTACATCTGAGGTTTGCTAACTTTAAGGCCCCTATTGAAACATTCAGTATTATAGAGGATATGTGCCAGTAGTATAGGACTAAATACTTCTCTCATTTAGAAATACATGCAGATTTGTGTCTCTATCGTTATTTCATTGCACAGATTTGGAAGAAGTGATTTTACTGCAAATAAGACTACCTTCTCATAAAAAGGCATGTATATTCAGCTGCAGAACTGAAAGGTAATTAAAGTTTTGCTTTGCCAGTATATCAGGATGAATAACTCTTGTTGAGGAACAACATGAGGATAGGTAATGGAATTCAGGATATTTTGAAGTCAGAAAGTTAGGAGTTAGACTGTTTACATATGTGGCTAGCCTCAAAATCCTGACAAGCTTTCTCTTATTTCTCACCAACATAATCTAGAGAGGAACTCTGACACCATTCACAGGTGAGAGGGAGAGCATAGTTTGATGAAGCTCTGGAAAATAAGTCTTTGCTTTTCTTAATATTACCTTTTAATTAAACAATACAGTGGCAAGTTAAAGCGTGTGCTCTGGAATGGAATTTTACTACCTTAAGATAACCACTAGGATGAGATATTGGAGACATCAGTCCTGACTATTATTCTCCTACTGAAACTACACCTACAGTATTTCAACATTACAACAATTTGCACTTACATCATCCTTTCCCTTATTAAAAGAAAAAAAAAACCACAACTTGACCAGTGTTTCTACAAGCAACTCTTGCTCAACTAAAATGATATAACCAAAGAGATTTATGTTACACCCTGCTTTGTCATGAAAGTATTTAATTCCATACCATGAGTGTACATGGACATCTATTTATGACTATATGAACTCCTGTATTGAACATATGTTCCAAAGACACTTTATATATAGGGAAGGTCAATGGAAAAGAAGCTGGAAAATGGTAGAGTTTTTAAAATATCACAAGAGAGATTAAGAAAGTTATGGATGAGAAAATAGTTTTTTTCTATGCTAATCTTAGCCCTGGATTTATAAGTCTAGTGAGAGGTATATTCTATTTTTTAATATATAAGGACTGACCTAAGCAACAAAAGCAGGATTTCAACCTCTATTTTTTGTATGTTTTAGTTTTTAAGGCTTGAAATCCATGAGCAACAGAAGCACAAAGTAGAGACTACAGTGTTAATGCTATAATAATAAACAAACAGAACCTGGAGGGTTTTCCCCTAGTTCGTCAGATTTCTGTAAACAATTAATATGAACATTTCTGGTACCAAAACTCCTGAACTACACCCTGGCAAGGGATGTCAAGGACAACAAGACGGGCTTCTTCAAATATATCAGCAACAAAAAGAATAATAGGGAAAATGCGGGCCTGCTACTGAATGGGGCAGAGGCCCTGGTGACAAAGGATAGAGATACCTAATGCCTTCTTTGCTTCGGTCTTTACTGCTGAGACTAACCCTCAGGAATTCCTGACCCTGGAGACCCAGAGAGACAGTTTGGAGAAGGGAAGACTTTCCCTTGGTTGAGAAGGATCAGGTTAGAGATCATTTAAGCAAACTTGACACCCACAGGTCCATGGGCCCTGATAGGATGCACCCAGGAGTGCTGAAGTCAGACATCACTGCTAGGCCACTCTCGATCATCTTTCAAAGGACATGGGGAACAGGAGAGGTGCCCGAGAACTGGAAGAAAGCGAATGTCGCTCCAGGCTTCAAAAAGGGCAAGAAAGAGGATCCAGGGAACTACAGGCCTGTCAGCCTTACCTCAATCCCTGAAGAGGTGATGGAACAGCTCATCCTGGATGCCATCTCTAAGTATGTGAAGGACAAGAAGGTGATCAGGAATAGTCAGCATGGATTCTTCAGCAGGGAAATCATGCTTAACCAATCTGATAGTCTTCTATGATGAAGTGATTGGCTGGGTAGATGAGAGGCATGCAGTGGATGTTGTCTACCTTGACTTCAGCGAGGCTTTTGACAGTTTCCCATAACATCCTCACAGGCAAGCTCAGGAAGTGCAGGCTAGATGAGCAGACAGTGAGGTGGGTTTAGAACTGGCTGAATGGCAGAGCTCAGAAGGTTGTGATCAGTGGTGCAAAGTCCAGTTGGAGGCCGGGAGCTCCAGTGGTGTCCCCCAGGGGTCAATAGTGGGTCCAGTATTGTTTAACATATTAATCAGTGACCTGAATGAAGGGACAGAGCACACCCTCACCAAGTATGCTTATGAGACAAAACCAGGAGGAGTGGCTGATACACCAGAGGGCTGTGCTGCCATTCAGAGTGACCTCAACAAGCTGGAGAGATGTGCCAAGAGGGACCTCCTGAAGTTCAACAAAGGCAAGTGCAGGGTCCTGCACCTAGGGAGCAATAACCCCATGCACCAGTACAGGTTTGGGGTTGACCTGTTGGAAAGCAGCTCTGCAGAGAAGGACCTGGGGTTCATGATGGACAAGCTGAGCATGAGCCAGCAATGTGCCCTTGTGGCCAAGAAGGCCAATGGTATCCCGGGGTGCATTAGGAAGAGCTTTCCAGCAGGTCAAGTGAGGCAATCCTCCCCCTCTACTTAGCCCTGGTGAGGCCACACCTGGAGTACTGTGTCCAGTGCTGGGCTCCCCAGGACAAGAGAGACATGGAGCTCCTGGAGAGAGTCCAGCAGAGAGCTACTAAGATGATGAAGGGACTGGAGCGTCTCTCCTACGAGGAAAGGCTGAGAGAGCTGCAACTGTTCAGGCTGGAGAAGAGAAGACTGAGAGGAGAGCTCATCAATGTGTCCAAGTATCTGAAAGGAGGGCGTCAAGAGGATGGGGCCAGACTCTTCTCCGTGGTGCCCAGTGATAGGACAAGAGGCAACGGGCACAGACTGAAACACAGGCAGTTCCGTCTGAACCTGAGGAAAAAACTTCTTGACTGTGAGGGTGACTGAGCACTGGAACAGGTTGCCCAGAGAGGTTGTAGAGCCTCCATCCTCAGAGATGTTCCAAAGCCGTCTGGACACAATCCTGGGCAATGTGCTCTACGTGACGCTGCATGAGCCAGGGGGGTTGGACTAGATGATGTCCGGAGGCCCCTTCCAACCTCAATCACTTGTTGGTGCAGTCTCACCAAAACTTCCTTTTGTGTGTTTTTGTCTTTTTTTGTTTGTTTGTTTTTTGTGGGGGGGAGGGGGGTTGTTGTTTGTTTGTTTTTAAACAGATGGATTTCAACAGAAACACTGGCTGTTTAGGATCCATGCGTCACTGGAACCCTCATACCTAATGCATAGCCAAATAAAGTGAGCAGTAGGGAAATGAGCAACAAAATGAAGAGGGAAAGAATGGAAGTGACAGATAATGAAGTGATCTTTCAAGTAACCCTTACTGTATATCCTGATTTATCTATATTATGATGATTTTAATCAGACTAATTGAAAAAATAGATAAGCCCCCTTTTCACACAAATAATGCCTATGATATAACTAGAACTATGCCATCACAACAGCATCCTTATCCAAAAACTACAAGAACTTTATAAGCAGGACAACACACTTGAGATGGCTCCAAGTATTCTCATTTTATGATGGAGAAATAGAGGCACAGAAGGTCAAACAGGTTACTCAAAAGTTCTTTGCCACAAAGTTCTGGTTGGAGAAGCAGCTGTGCAATGCAAACACTGCTTTCCATGCTGATCATTACCCTTCTACCTTCGTAGTGCTCATCAACTCAAAAAACTTCTTCACTGTGAGGGTGACAGAGCATTGGAACAGGTTGCCCAAAGAGGTGGTGGAGTCTCCTTCGCTGGAGATATTCAAAAGCCGTCTGGATGCGATCCTGGGCAATATGCTCTAGGTGACCCTGCTTGAACAGGGAGGTTGGACTAGATGATCCCCAGAGGTCCCTTCCAACCTAAACAATTCTGTGATTCTGTGAACTCCATGCCAATTTACCTTTAGATAATGTTTAGCAAGGTGGAGCCAGGGCCTTTAAGCAGCATCACAATACACAGTCAGAGCAGTAACAGTTCTTACTATGGAACTTTGGCTATAGTCATTAGATCCTGGATGGGAAGGAATCAAAAGATGCTGGATGGCAAGAGGTTTTTTTATTATTGTAATAAGGTTTGTTACATATTAATTTGATATTCCTGTTTTGCGTGAATGACGTACAGTGTCACCCACTCTGAAGCATCTGTGTGGTCGTCATCATGTTTTTTTCCAGGTCAAGCAAGTACATCCATTAGAGATTAAGATAAACAAAAACGCCAGAAGAAAGCGGGGGGGAGGACAGATGGAGAGACAGACAGAGGAGAGATAACCATAATTGGAAAAAGTCTCTTTGAAGACAACAACAATATATTAAACCTTATATCAAAACACTACAGTAGAATGTTTCATTTGAAGAAACGCTTACTGCTATCATCAGGCAAGTACTGTGACATACTCGAACCTGAACATTGGTGAAAGACCAAACAGGCTCGTACAGACAGAATATGAACTTTGCTCCTAGACCACTTCATGCATCTTTTCCAGCCTACACTCTCTCTAGCCTATTTTCCATAGAAACTTGCAGTCAGAAAGAATTATATCTGCAACTCACAGAAGAAAATACTGCTCTTCTGTTTTAATGGAGAATAGCTCCTTGGATATTCTGCTTTATATTAGAAAGCAAGTTAGGGACCAATAATGGTCCCTAACAATCAGACTATCTGCTGTTCACCAGCAGCTCACTTTGTTAATAGGCTAGCACACAGTGAATGACTTTTCCCCAGAAACCAGCCAGTTCATGGGGCTCAGTTTGACCTTCCTCTTGCAACTAATGGAAGCTACTGAGGTAAAGTAATCTCTGAACTCTTGAGAAGTTTAGGCCAGTGCAGAGAATACAGTGTTCAAAGATTATTAGTATCTCTTAGTGAGTTTACCATTTGGGGCAGTAACATGTCTATCATTTCCCTTGTTCTCCAGTAAAAGATTCAGTGGTAAAATAGAAAGTTTATGCTAATGAAAATGCCTAGTCAACAAAGTAGTTACTGGATTTAGTAACATATAAATAGAAATTAGATATACTTTGTATTTACCTGGTACTTTGGCTTAGGTTTCAAGATGTTCTCTGTGTTCCACTCAGCTAACAGGCTATGAAGTCCAATTGATGTTTAGGCAAGTAATTATAGCTATGGGAACAAGATTCTCGTTCAGAAATGAACCTATATCCTACTGGTATTATCCTTCTGTGACACGAGATGGAGCCTAATTTTAAGTATTATGTTTCTCAACAGGATCTCACTGATTGGTAATACAGTCCTTTTAATTTTGATAATTTAGTCAGGATATCTCTTTATAACCTTCTTACTAATTACCCACAACCTAGCACAACACTAGCTTTTGGTAAGCAAAGACACATGGAAAATACAGTCTTTACCTTGGTGAACTCAGGCAACATAATGTGGCCATCTCTGAGTAACCATGTAACTCCCATATCAGTATATAATCTTCTATCATTTGAGAAACTCATTAAAACTATCAAAACTTGTATCTTTTCAGAATGATGAAACAGGAGAAAAAAGGAGACAGTAGTAGGCTTTGCTGTCTCCTAGTTACAGTCTGCTGAGTTTGGGAATTCCCTTTTGTAGTTGTTTTGCAGTCTTGATGTTAATGGACATGGCACAAAGACCATAGATCCCCAAATTTATTCAGAATTAAGATCCTCTATTTGACCAAATTATGCACAAAATAAAGACATTTGTTTTCAGCAAATCTGCAAAACAATAAATGAATTAATTCCCACCTTGTTCAAATAAACAAAAGTATGAATTGTCAAAAAAAATAGATTCAGTTACTGCGTAGTTTGCTTAGCTTTCTTTTGAAGATGCCTAGCATATGGTATTATTTACAAAGCATTGGCAATGTGCTCAGTACAGAAAATTCAGATCGAGCTTCAAAAGTATGCAAAGTTTAACACCAGGAATCAAGTCTGTCCCCACACAGTTCTCTTGATCAGTTGAATATGACTATTTAAATTTGCATATATTGCTAATTCTTATTGCTAAATATTATTTTAATACTAAGAAATACATGGTTATACTTATACTTGCATATGTATTACTTGTACCTGTAACTGATGACATACAAGTTGCCAAGTCACAGAGACCACATGCTTCCTCAGCTAGGACAGTCCTCTTCTTCCAGATGCGCACTTACGCTCCCAAATCTAAAAATATTTGGGAAAAAAAGAGTTTGCAGAAGTGAGTGTGACACTTTACAAGATATAGTCTTCAAAATACACAAAACAGAGTCTGCCTGCATTTCAGCTGTACCTTCTTCTCTCTCCCTTGTTAGAGGTCTGCTGGATCTTTTCAAAGAGGTACTTCTCCAGCTCGGCCTCTCAGCTCCATCACTGCAGGCAGAGCACTGTGCTTCTCAAGCACCAGCCCCTCTGGCTCCCTACCCTGGAGGCAAGCCGCAGGCCTCCATCTGCTCCTGAGCCCAGTCCTCATCACAGAGCAAAGGCAACTGGTCAGGTTGGCTGCCCTTGCCTGAGGTTAGCAAGTACTTGCCTGAAGCCAAGTGGTGTTAGCAGCCTCTCCCAGCATAAGGGGTAATTACAGGCCGGTTGGCCAATCCTCCTGAATTCTGTTTTCTTTCTAGAGCTTAAAGGAAACAAGTTACAGAATAGGCCCCAAGTTACAATTTTCAATAATATCATACCTTTTGGCAAGGTTCAATGACCTGTGCCTCACAGCACTTTGAACACGTAACGTAGTTGCGGACTGAGCTTAGTATTGTTTCCTTAGTATTAGAAGGGCAACTTCCCCCCCCCTCCCCAAAAAAAAGCAAAGTTAAAAAATACCACAAAAAGATATTAGCACCAGTTTAACTGAAAACCTATTGCTCAGTTCTCAAGAGTTCACAGAACAGTGGTTTCCTTCTGACAAAAGATAACGCTAGTGATGTAGGTTATCTGCATTACAGTAGCTATCGTAGCAGCACTTCTCAGTTTCTGGGTCACAAGTAGGTCATATACCACCACACTGCAGTTTGCAAAACAAGCTACACACAAAGTGAAATTTTTGAAAGATATACATACATTCTTAGGCATGGAAAGAACTAAACAAAACCAACACCGGAAGAATAAGATCTAGATGAACATTCAGAAGCTTGCTTAATTTTTCAGTTGTAGAAGAAAACTACTCTGGCAGCACTTCATCGTGCACCTAACGGACTTAGGCAATGCCCAGATTTTTTCCAATAAATTTAAGAGGCCATTTGATTAACAGAAATTTGAGAAGCACTGACCAAGATGATTTAACCATCAGGATTCCATGTCTGAAAATCTAGGTCTCAAATTCTCATCAGGCAGATGCTAGGCATTATAAGCTAGAACAAAGAGGAAGAAAACTGACATCACATATTTCCACTCATGTTGTTTTTAGGATCAATGATACAAACTGCAAAGAGGAGCTCTTTATTCTGTACTCTAAATATTGAGAAGCATTAAAAATACATATACTTAAATATTATAAAATTTATTCAAAGAACATTAGAAAAAAGGATTATATTTTTAAAAAGTACCTTTATAGTACCTACAATTTTCATATTTTGGCAACATATACATTACTACATTTACAAAGAAAGGGAAAAAGCCCTTTTCTAGTTCTTGTTAGCCAACGTGAGTTTAACACAAGCCTGAGTGCTGGGGATGTCACTCCAGCAAACTAATGCCTAACAAGGACAGATTCGATGATATCTTAATAGTTTTTCAGTATGACCAGGCAACTCAACTGCTACCACCTATGTGAACAAAATAGCAACGACAAAGCTGTTTGCTGTCTAACACAAGTTAGCATATCAAAGTAAATCTTAGCCTCATCTTTAATAGGTAACAAAAGCCCAAAAGCATTTAAAATGAAATTGGGATGGCTTTCAGGAGCCCAGCTGAGAAATGCAATCCTCAAGACAACTGTCCAGTCTTTGAAACACCTAGAATATGTGGGCCTCTGAGTTATGTCATCAGAGTTCTGCTGCTCATATCCAGATGTGTTTAACAGCTTGGTGCCCATTTCATTACCACAAAAATTTGGGTTCAGGACTCTCTTGTGAGGTGAGCTTTGGTGTGTTCACATCAGAGCACAAGCACAGATAACACATGACAGGCAAAACAGTCTCTGGGAGGAGCTCCTGCCATGGACACGTTGCCCTTCTCTTCAACACTATAGACTACTTTGCAACAAAGTATATTAATAAATAAAATCCAGTATTTAGCGCATTCACCAGGACCCAGAGAGCTGGGTTCAGTTCCCTTATCAGATTGAGGGAATCCAGACATTCTCTCTTCTCTTCTCTCAGAGGATTCCCATAATCCTGAAACCACAGGCTGCTGCAGGGTATTACAGAGGGCAGATGAGGAGTGCTTTCCCCCACAGCTGAAGCTGGGCCGCTTCATCAGCCCAGAGACCAGGAACAAAAGCCTAACACTGTGAGCCCTCAGCTCTTACTAGGAAGAAAGCTGCAGTGCAATTCCTGCTCCGTGTACACTAGATATAATGACTGCTTCACATAAAATGCTCTTCATATAAAGTCTTATTTCTTTCTTCATCCTATCTTACACTAGCAGATCTTCCAATTATCTCCTACTGAAAATAAGCCTGTTTTAACTTCCAGTATGACCCAATCATACTGAAAATTGATTCATACTGAAAATTTTGAAACATACTGGAAAAAGTTGCATGGAGAACTCAGAAACAATACTGATTTTCAAAATATATACAGGATCATCACACTGATCCATATCAACCTTCCTTCTCCCCTCCACCATGGGATTTTGTACTAAATGATGGAAATGCCAGTTTGCAACTAACCTTCTCATAACAAGGGCCCTTACTTATAGTGCGTTGAGGGGCTGAGTTCCAGGAAAAAGCAGGTTTGTAGAAGAAAAGTCTAATCCCAGCTGGCTAGGATTTGTTACAGGAGGCCAAGAGGAATGGAGAGAACAAAGCAAATTCTACTTTCATGCATCTTAGAAACGCTAGAAGAAAAACAATGAGCACACAATAGACATGGGATTGCCACACTCTTTGTACTATACAATGAAATTGATTGTACAGCTACTCCACAAGTTTGTTGATTTTGTATTGCTTAGCCAAGGAAAAAAGCTGAGGTTATTTCTGAGGGCACATGCCTTAAAATAAAATAATAAATAAATAATATAAATGAAAAAGATGTTTCAGAGAGTAATGTAAATCAAGAGGCTCTTTTGGTACCATCAGAGTTAAAACCTATAACTTTAATATGGAATATTTCAAATATTATCAAGCAGAGATAATCAAACTTCAGTTTAATTGCTCCCTTTGTGAAAAGATTGCTAAATTAATCACGTTATCTTCTCATAGTATGATTCATTATTAATTCTAAAATTATCGATCTTTTTATTTAGAGGTCACTGTTCAGCATCAAACAATGAAAACAAACTTTTCTGCAATTAGCTTACGCTAGCAAGCTCACTAAAACTCAGGGACTCCTCTACAATCCTATTAGACTGCAAAATGGCAATTTCTGAGCATATTTCAGAATATGTTCAATATGCATAGTCCTTCTGATCCTAGGTAAAGAAGGTAATAAGAACTTAAGTAATTATTGAGAGCATGTGTCCTGATTGAGCTTATTACGAAAAATTCTCTTTTCTCTTGTCTAGTCAATATTAATTTTCACACTAATCAAACTGCATCACCAAGACACTCCCCACATTGCCCTCCAGGTTACACCTAACAGGAATATACACATAAAAATCACAGTATTCTCCAAATCACATTAACTTTGTATTCCCTTTTCACACTCTACCCTGGAAAACAGTAATATCAAAGCTCTTGACTTCTGTGCTAACAAGAGTGATCATTAGCAATTATGTATTAAATAAATAAATAAATTCAACATCCTGAGCATCCACACAGTTCACTAAATAGAAAAGCCTATTAAAACAGCACTACAATAATTCCTAATAATCTACAGAACTAAAACCAAAAAAAGGAAACCTGACTCTAAAGTAATTCAGGAAAAGTAAAAGTTAAGTTTGCATGATATCATTTAGGAACTGGAAAGGTTAAAGCAATCATATGTATTGCATGTTGCAAATTGCTGAAAAACTACTTACTGGGGGAGAGATGCAAGGTAAAGTAGATTTACAATGATATTCTATATATGCACTATAAAAAGGAAGTTTAATTTACACTACAAGATAACATAAGGCCCCAAGAGTCCCTTTAAGGAAAGCCTTGCTCTTCTTAACTAATTTTTGTGCCACTTCTTTCCATGCATCCTCCCTTTCTGTAAGCAATAACAGACTGACATTCAGGTGGGATTTCAGGCCTTTCAGGTAACTTTTCCCAGCTTTCATTTTGTCAACACGCAAGTTAGCACGGTTACTATAGGATCCCAAGTGGCACTGGCTTTACATCTAAGGGAGATATGCACTGGCTTCTTTCCCTTCAGTGGGGTACCTTATTCACAGAAAAACCTCACCAGAATATCCAAATCTTTCTTGAGAGCCAATATTATGGGTTTTCCCAGGATATACATTAAGCTGTCCCATATGAAATTACAAATACAAGATCGTAAGGCGAAAAGAGAAATAAGGCCTGCATCAAACTAACACACCCTCATTGTTCAGAGACAATGGAAGAAGAGCTCCCAACACCTTTGTCCCTGCCAACCAGATGACCCTTTCTGTCAGCTCACTGTACGGAGACAGAACATCCCCCTCTCTGGCAGCAAAGCTGGGTGGCAACCTTCTCTCTTCCTGCAAAGGTCTGGCCACAGCAAGCCACAGCCCGCATGGGCTGGGATCCTGAGCACTGCTGGCTCAGTCACAAGTCACAGTCACAATCAGCAGTCAGAAAAGCTAATCCCTTACTTACAGGACACTCGTTCTGACCTACTTCCAAATCATGGAGGCAATCCCTCTATCCTCCCGTGCCAAAAAAACAAAGCAGCAGCACGCATCCATAGTACAGCATTCCCGTGCTGACTGTAACAGCAAAAGGCCGTACTGCCGTGAAAGCAGAGACCTGAGCCAAACTCAGTGGGAGACAACTTCATTTTTCATAATTCCTAATTTCTCATTATTCTCCACATGGTAAGTTAATTACTTTTTCTAGCCATCATCATCATGAATGGTGAGATATGCAGCCTTACTTCATCACATTTGTACATCAGTTTTTTTATTGCTGGGAAGAGGAAACAGTAAGTTTTGCAGCAATTTAGAAAAACAAACTAAACAAAAATCTTTTCTATGCATAACAATCATTCTTTTAACCACACACAAACACAGAGCAAAGAGATCTTTCCAGTATTCATAAACCTATGTAACTTCAGGACAGCATTATTGTTCTTTTTTCTCCAAATAGAGGACAGAAAGGGATGTCACCTGCACACAGTAGTTCTGACTTACGTTATGCTGACTGGGAGGAATTACACCACCAATAAGACAATTTCTCACGATTACAGGGTTTACTAGTCTCACTGAGAACAGAAGTCCGAGTTTTGAATATAAGAAGGAAAATTATGAACAGGTCAGATACAAGACATAACGCATGTATAGGATGTACAAGCTAAGCGTTTCTTGTATGTAAGAGATAAATGGCACATACTCCAGTTAAAGGGTATGTCAAGAAGTATGATGACTACAGGCCAAATATTAGACACTATAACCTTAATTACAGGTTGGTCAGCTGATCAAAGTAATAAACGGGCTCAGTATTCTTAGGAGCAGATTTGTGAACTTTTGATTAGAAGATTACTGCATCCAGAATTCCTTTTTCATCACCTGAAACAACTTCTTCCCTTTAAATAGCTCATACAATTTAGACACTTACTTCTTATCCTCCTGTTTTTACTGATGCTCAAGCATGGATATAGTGGAATGAAATGCTACACAGTAAAAACTTACCAAAAAAACACCCCACTTTATTACCATTCACTGGAATGAAAATATTAAGTTGACTGACAAATTTAACTTCAACAAAAATCTACCTAAGGTAAATCTATGAGTTTAACCACAGGTTATTTTTCACTGTTTCTGCCCCAGCAAAAAAGGAGAGCCACAGGAATCACTGAAAGAGTATCAAGGAAGTAGAGGAAGGAGCAAGAAGCTACAATATTATCCCAAACACGACAAGGCACAGGCACGACAGGTGGGACTTTCACAAGGTGGTCACTTGTCTAACTAGCTAAGGTAGCATAGGCATAATGCAAAAGGGAAGACCAAAGGACAAGGCCAAAATTTGAAAGTGGAGAATTTGCCCCCTTTGATAGTATTTTGTTCCCAGCTCTTCATCTTTAAGTACTGAAAGTGCCCTGTTCTAGACAATACAAAATGAAAAAAAAGAGATTGTGACAGCCTTCAAAAACAGCCACCTGAAAGGAAGACGACTCTTATGCCCAGTCCAAGAATGTGGCAGCTTTTTTCCCCCGAGAAAAGCATGAAGTCTGGATGCACCACTGTGCATCTCTGTTAATGCGGATCATCTTCATATTCTGGGCCCTTAGCTTGACTTTTTCCTCATGCAAGAGTTTCTCTCCTTAGTTCTTCTTCCACCTAACTTAGATTCAGAGTCTGAGCTGGGATTATTTTCAGTCCTTCATCCTCTTTACTCCCCCTCCTTCCTCCCAGGTTTTACCTCATCGTTTTTGCCTCCTGGTCTGGCCTGGCCAGGCGCTCTCTCTCTCTCCTTCTGCAAGCATATACTGCTCACATCAACTCAGACAACCTCTCTCCTTCCAGAGCTACTCCATCACTTTCCATTTCCTGCCTGGTCACTTCTCCTATTCAGCTAATGCCCTTGTCCACATGCCGCGTGAAACCACCAGTCTCCTTCTGAACGTCTGCCTGAAGCATTTACCTCCTCCCTCCCCACCCACCACTTCCTGCCTTGAACCTTCCCTGGCCTGTGCCCATCCAAACACCTCTGAGTCCCCACCTCCACACTTGCCTTTCTATTAACAGACCTACCTCAGTTAGAGCATCGTCCCCCAGAGCTGCAGCCTGCCCCACCACTCTACCACTGTGACTCAGGGTAGCTTAAGAAATTCCTTCCTCCCTCAGAGGCTGCCCTAGGCCTCCCCATAGCTCTTTGCTGCATTGCACCCTACTCTGGGGGCATCATTTCAGCCTGTCCTGCCTTGCCAACATGCCTTGCTGAACTCCTTGCCCTAGAGCTTCTTGTGTCAGCCCACACAGCCCTGGAGCAGCTGCCTCCTTCACACCTTCTCATGGGTTACCTCAGCGCTAATTACTGCATAGCCTGTGCTGACTCTACTAGGACCTTATCCGCTTAGCTCCCTTGAGCTGACCTAGCCCATCTTTTTCTTCATATCTCAGTCCTGCTCACAGCAGTTTCCCTTACAGCTCCAAGCATTAACACATCCCTCATGGTGTACCAGCATATCCCACTGACCCTTCTTCCAAGGGCACAGTCTCTCACTTAGCCCTCCCTCCTCCAGCACAACTACTTTTCAACAAGCTCAGGCTGATTCTTTCTCACTCATCTTCCCTCTCAAATGTTCCTTCAGCTCTTTCCACTGAAGCTACCTTGTTCCCAGCTCTGACCACCTCCATAACTCCAGCTTCTCTTCCCCATTACCTACAATGACCTGTTCCTAATACCCTCTAACCTTCTGATACTGGCTTCAGCTTTTTTCATCTAAATCCTCCTTGCAGCCCCCAGTTTCTCTGCTTCAGGCAGCAATCTCTTAGCCCTTATTACCCTTATTACCTACCTTATTAGCCTGCTGTGCTATTCCCCACTCTTATCTCCCCCACCTGTGCCCCTCACACAGCCTACCCTCACTGCTCAGGCTGCCTTGTCTTCCCAGGTGCACTCCAGGCAGTAGGGGCCTTTCCACCTCACCCCCTTTGATCAGCCAGCTCTGGTGCCCTGGGCCTGCAAATGTTTTTTTATTCCCCTCCTCCAAATAAAGTACACTTCCCTTCCACCCTCTCCAAAGAGCTTCTGTAAAAGCTGTGAGTTCCCTGGCTTTACCACCTCATCTCGGCTGACTGCACCCATTTCCCTGCAAGCCCAGCACCCCTCACTGCACGAATCACCTCCCAACACTGCCTGCCTCTGCAGCCATGTCCCATCCGCATCACCCTGCCTTCCCTGAACAGCTGCTTTAACAGCTGCTCTCAGCCCTGGCGATCCATGTGTCCTCACTGCAATGCGCACCAGAACGGGGAGGAGGAGGGAGGAAGGACATGGGGAATAGGAACTGTCTTCCCAGAAACTTATCTCCCTGAACTTAGGACAAGGAACGGCCTCTGACTACCCTAGGCTTTGGGAACGATACTTAACTTTTTCTCATGGGCTCTTGAAACAAATTTGAATAGAGATTGGTAGAGGATGACAGGAAGCATTGTATCATCTCAACAGCAAGCATTCCACTATATAAATTCCTTTCCAGGTTGGTGGAGAGACAGCAAGCAAAAAGTAGGGTGATTTGATCCCTCTTTCTTTATTGGGATGATATGAACTATCTGTTTTCTTATCATTGGGGATATCAGTTATGTAAGGATGCTTAGACAATGAGATGGGTACTTAATCTACAAGGAAAAATAAATAGTTATCAATATTTATTCAAAAGCAAAAGAAAAAGTACAGTGCAATAGTTCCCCCTACTGACAGCACAAAAGCAAATTACTAATAAATGTTATTTCCTGGACTGTCCCCAAATCACTAAGTCAAAGTCCCAAAGCTGAGGTACCCTCAGAAGCTTACTGGTACACAGTAAACCACATGAAATTCAGTTACATTAGAAGACTACTAAGATTTGCCAAATGCTAGACAACAAAATCTGACAAAATCCTGTTGGTCGCTAAGGTCATAGATCATGTATACAAAATGACAGCATGCAGTCTCACGGAAAGAGAGCTATAAAATGTAGGTGAGCACGTGTATTCTGAATGAAATACAGAGATACCCACCAGCACAGAAGGGAACCATACCCAAAGTGCAGTTGTTTCAGTCTCTATGACTGCTGAAGTCTAAAGGACATATGACAGGTCTGGGTAGAGACTTGCCAAATTCTGCTGTATTTCAGGACTGAACTCTTCAGACAAAGAGTAGGTCTGACACGTTGGTGTTCAAATTAGTCCCCAGTTCCTGAAAAAAAGAAGTGAAAACACTGCCATTCTGCTTCAGTGTCACCTCATCTGATTCAACAACAGCTGAGATAAATCAGGCCCAATGACCTACCACTGTTGCTGCTTCCAGAAATCAAAATGGAATTTGGGATTAGATGTCTACCTGGACATCAACGGAAACAGAAGCATTCTTCTGGCCTTATATGCATACCATTTGTTCCTAGGTTGTAAAGCTAACACACTAGTCAACTAGCAAAAAAAAAAAAAAGTCTGGAGAAAAGCCTCTGATACATTAAATTCTAATATCACTTGAGAAATGCAATGAAAAAATACACAATAATACAATGGAAAAGAATAACAGAAATAAATACAGAGACTATTGAAATACGCACTGGATCACAAAATTCTATAAATCAGAATTTTGAAGAGTCCTGTTATGATCTTGGCAAATACAAATGCCCCTGAAAAATTAAATGCTATTAACGAAAATACCAACACTCATTTCAAGCACTTTTTATAGTGGATATGATGCCTACCCAGCAAATACTCAGCTGCAGATCAACTGCCAACACTTGTAGTATGGTCTTCTGAAATGTACTTCCTATATCAATGATTCTCACATCACTGTAAATATAAATGTATAATACAATATGGAAAAAGAGCAGCCTCTGCTCTATCTGCAAAATGTCATTACACCTCAGTAGTGACACACACCTTCCTTCAAGTACCTCTCCAGCATCTGGCTTTTTCACTTGAAGGAGGTTTCACTTGTGTGAGGCTTTCCCAGGCCGCAGAACGTGTAATACCTTTGCCAGGCTAGTGAACTTCTCACTGTCACTCTCTGTGAGCATGCCCTTTAGTCACGATTTGTACAGTCCAGCATAGGGAAGGCTCAGCCTGGACTGGAGTTGCTGGTAATACAAAATATGATAAATAAAATAATAATCGCTCAAAAGGATCAGGATCCTCCTTAGGGCAGACTGCAGCTGCTTCACACCACATCAGATCCTGGTGTTCATGGTCTGCATGGCGCAGGGATCTGAAATGCTCATATTTTTGCATTTTCCATTCGCCTTGGTTTTAGGAGCGCTGCATCTGATATGACAGAAATCTTCTTTCCAATACTGTGTTTACTTAGGAAAAAAGTACTTGGAGCATGTATCTATTGCCATAATCCATGCTGTAATAATATATATGTATACAGATGATCTCAGGAGTATTAATTATTTAGGACAGGGACTGAGCCTTTATATCCTGGAGAGACGCTCATGCATCTTGGCTAGGATTTGAAATGAGACGCACTGGTAGCGGCAGCAGTACGTCACCAAGTGTGGTATTTCCACTCTCCAGCACCACCTCCAGCGCCAAGTCCCAAGGGCTGCCCTTTTCCTTTTAACCACCCGAGTTGGAGAGTAAAGTATGTGTGTCGAAAAGTCAGTCACTCACACACCTCATATGGGCCTGGCAAAGCAAAGGCTGGCTCTGGGCGAGGCGCCGGCGGCCGGG